ATCACTTTTCATAGAAGCCTGTTTTATCTGTTTTAGAGTGACAAGGCCAAACGACAAGCTGAACAAAAATGCCTAACTGGAGGGGGTGGAGGGCTAAAAGTAAAATCATAACACATAGCAAACCACACCAAGTCTGTTTACACCCAGCATTTCCTTCAACCATGCAGTGACATTTTTCTCGAAATGCTGCCCTTGTAAAAATGGCTGACATGAAATCCAGCCTAAACCCAGCCTCTTCACCCTTCACTTGCACAACCACCTTGGTTTTGAGCCACAGTTCCAAAGAGCAGGTAGAAGTTACCATTCCAGACGGCTAAATATAGTGCAAGAAATGGAACACCCATTTTTTTCCAAGTCAAGCAGGACCTTGTAAGAAGCAAAATAAGGATTTGGGTTTGCTGGCTAATTTAAACAGCTTTGAGGATGACTTTTGTAGCATAATTAGTTCACAGGAGCTAACAGACAGTGGAAAGAAATATATAACCTCTGAATTACTTATTATAGTAGACACGTCTAAACTATCCATAAAGAACCAATGTCACCTAATTGAGAAATAAAACAGGCAAACAAGTTGGCAGTTTCTCTGAGCCTGACTCCCTGCCCATGCTCACCATAACAGTGAGAAAAATTCAGGATTTAAAGTCAGATGGCCAATTTAACACCCAGCTTATTTTACCTCTCTCAGCCTTTCCCAAGATCATATCTGTAAAATGAAAATGATAATTATATCTACTTCACAAGATTACTGTGAGGATTAAAATCATCATCATCATAATAATAAAATATTTTTACTATATAAATGTTTGCTGGCATTAGGAAAATTTGCAGCACAGTCCTCTTCTAGTATATCTTCTTTTAAGCCCCTCTCAGGATGAAGGGGACAGGTCAGTGATAGAATGGGATGTCCCTTGGACCAGAACAAAATGTCTCTCTGCTGGACAAGATCTGCTAGCCTCTATGCCCTAGAAACTCTTTATATTTCCTCAGTCTCCTACTGAGTATAATCAAGGTCCCCCAGTTGGCTCCCGTATATTTTTTTAATTAAACCATTTCTAAAGTCTCCTCCCCCCACCTCCCTCCTCAATACAAAAACCTTTGAGAACTCATTGGGCATACAGGGTGGATCAATGTGACTACATTATTAGTCAGAGAACAAACATTCCAGGCAAGTAATTTTGTTTTCTCCCATAGATTAAATATATTCTCACCTGCAGAGACTAATGGGCTCCAGGGATCTTTCTCTATATATTTAACAATGAGATAACTAAGTGGCAAAGTCAACAAAAATCAGAAGGCAGGTGCAAGGAACCAAGCAACTTTTTTTTAATAAATATTGTTTTTTCTTAAGGGAAATAAGACACACCTTAAATACAACAGCTCTGTAACCTAAAACAAGAAGAAAAGAGATGTTGGGAGAGAAAGACTGCCAACCAGGAATAGGTTCTATTAGGACAATCAGCTCAAACTCTAGTCTTGGCAGGAATGAAATCCGGGGACGCAGATAAACCTCTGAGCTTGGTCACCCGTGTTAAAACCCTTGAATCCAGTTTTAAACAATTTCTTCTCTCAATCTACCAAATCTAACCAGTTACCCCAGTGGTTAGTCCTTGCAAATGTGTTTGTATTTTCTCCTTCTTTTCCATTTCCATTTGTCCCTGCCATCTTACCATCCCCCACCCAGATACTCAAGTGCTGTGCAAGTAGCCATCCACACTCTCCAACCCATCCCGCCCAAGTAACAGTCACAACAGGTTTCTAGAGAGTCACATTTTAGTTCAAAATGCAAAGTGATTTCCTTCTGGTCTACGCGTCTGGCCTCTCCTACCTGAGTTTCAAAGTCCTTTGTAATCAGACTCCGCCCCACCAACCTGTCTTTACTTTCCCGTCAGACTGGCTTCCTCACCAGGATCCCGTGAACACCCAAGGCGCACACCCACGCTGCTCCACTGCCCCTTCCACTACTTCACCCGAGCTACTGCTCTCTGAGGACTGCCCTGCTTCTCCCACTGTATGTCCAAACCCTAGTGGTTTCCCAAGGCCTAGGTTTAGTCTCATCTCCTCCATGAAGACTCCTCTCACCTCTGAACTCCTCAATAAACATTTTCTCTATGCCATATAATCTACCACTTCACAAAACATCTGTATATTGTTTACCACTCATTTCATGTGCACTATATTTGTCCCCATAACCAGATAATAAACTAGGTCACAAAATGCTGGTCCTTCTGCCAAATATGATCCCAAACATATTTTGTAAAATCTCATTTTTTGTTTTCTCTCATTCGAATATTTGGCATGCCTTCATCACTACCTATGGAATTTCCTCAAGGAAATTCATCCTCTGTCTTCAATCCTCAAATCTGATAGTGTATCATTAAAACCCCTAAATCTTGAGTGTAGGAGGAAAGGTATTTGGGCAAATTAGAAAAATCACTGAACAGTGACATAGGAGATCCAGCTTCTAGGCACCACCCTGACACTAACTTAGCTCTGTGGTCCTGGTTAGACCACACAGTGTCAGTCCAGTGCCTTCTCTTTAAAATCACCATATAAATACTTGGGGGGAAGGTTGATATCAAATTATTCCTATTTTTTAGTAGTATGTTATAGTATGTTACAGTATATAGTAGTATGTTATAGTATCTTCCAGAAGTTACACAAAAACTTAGAAGAGGCTTGACTCAACTTTGTATGGGAAAGAGTCTATGGATACATACTGAGTACCACAGGGTAGACCCAAGAGAATTTTATACATAAAATCTTGAAAAGCAAATATTTCTTCTACTTCCTAGTCAAATGCATATTTTAAGTAACAAGAAATACTAACAAAATCTACTGTAAATCTCTGAGATCTTTTTTTCTTTACTTCTCTTTTCCTTTGATCTTAAGGATGAGAGAATTTCTTTAAGACAAAAAAAGAGAGAGAGACAAAAACAAGTTATAATAAGGTACCTGTGAAAGATAATTTATAAATATATATATAAGCAGGAGAGTTTTCCATGGGAAGAAGAGCAGTTCAGAAGAAAATGATGTTAAAAGGGGGTTTTCCAAGGATGGCAATAAATCAAGTAAGAATGGTAAATGTGTCACAAAATCAGACACATCATAATTCTCCTTTGAGGATCCCATTCATTCATTCATTCATTCACCATATTAACTCATCAAGTGCTTAGATAATATGCTGGGCATTTGGGATACAATAAAGGGAAAGATGCAGTGTCTGACCTGCAAGAACCCACTATCACGTGGAAAAACAGCTGGGTGTGAGTTAGCACTGTCCCTGACTGAAGTCTTACTGTGTACCAGGCGCTCTGCTGTGCACACCAACCCACTGAGCAGGCACAATTATTATCCCTGTATTACACATGAAGAAACTCAGGCTTGGAAGTTTCTATAACTCACCCAAGTGCTACAATCTAAATGTTTGTGTCTCACCAAAATTCATATGTTGAAATCCTAACCCCCAGTTGATGATATTTTGAGGCGGAGCCTGTGATTAGATCACAAGAGCAAAGTCCTCAGAGTTCTCACAGAAAGATCCCAGAGAAATTCCTCACCTCTTCCTCAGCCTTGTGAGGTTGCAAGAAGGCACCATCTATGAAGAAGCAGGCCCTCACTAGACATCGAATCTGCCAATGCCCTGATCTTGGACTTCTCAGCTTTCAGAACTGTGAGAAATACATTTCTGTTATTTATAAGCCACCAATTTATGTATTCTGTTATAGCAGCAAAATAAACTAAGACACCAAGGCTATCCAGCCAGAAAGTAGCAAGGCTGGCTTTCAAACCCAACCCTGCACTACAAACTGAGGCAGACAGTGCAATGTGGTGAGCGAAGATGGAGGCAGGTGCAAAGGACTGTGGTCTTGGCTACTCTTACCAGAGCTCCAAAGAGCTCGGTCCTTCTCTGTGGATTGGAAGCCATGAACTCTGGCTTCAGCAGCATCTGAAGTTGGTGTATGTCAAACTACCCAGGATGTGGTATACTGCAACTAGACCAAGGTCACAGGGGCCCAAAGCGAAACACTTCAGCTGCTTCAGATTTTATGCAGATCTCGGAAAAGAAACACACAGACTCAAGCTCACATACACACACTCCACTGTCACAGCAGTTCCCCCAGAGAATGGGTTATTTAAAAAGTACCCTCTTCCCACCAAAGCAGAAGCAACTTTTTCTTACATGTTTGAAAAGTAAAAGAGAATGAGAAAAAAAAAAAAACGAAAAACTTCCTGAAAGTAAAGACCCCAAGAGACTTGAGAAGAAACAACTCTGGATAGCTCAATGGCTGTTCTGCCCTCCTGGGCTGAGCAGCTGCCAGAACTAAGAGGACCCCAGAGGGGCCTAAGGGTCACAGACACAAAGAACCATAAAGCTCCAGGGCCCTGGGGAGGAGCTGTAAGCTCACCGGGACTGAGGCCCCACCTGCTCTAACGCCAGCCTGAGGCCCTCATCAGAGACCTGTTTTAATCATGACACCAGTGAGGAAGAGGTTTTGCTTATTTGCTTTATTGTATTTTCTGTTCTGTTTTGTTTGTTTTAACCTAGTAAGCCATAAAACCTTCAGTGGCCTGTGAGGGGAAGACTGCATTCAGAGAAAGGCAAAGGAAAATTTGGGGCTGCAGTGAGGTGCTATGAACACCCATCCCACCAGCATTACCTCCTGAAGCCTTGAAAAGAGGAGGGAATTAGCTTTAATCAAGCACCCATTAAAGATTGTGTCCTAGGCATTATATGAGGCCTTGTTTTATTTAAGTCCCACAATAAGTCTTGAGATCTTATTAATTTATTTTATAGGGGGAAAAAATGGCAAGACTCTGGACAACACTAAATAATTTGCTGAGTATCACCCAGCTAGTCAGTGGGGGCCAGAACTAAAGGTCTATCTGACCCCAAGGCCCAGGAAGACAATCCTTTCTGTGGAAAACAAGATGAAATCCTAAAGAGAAGATGGAAAATCAGCATCTTTTATTATTGTTTATTGAATTATCTACTCATTTGAATAGGCATTGTAGGCAAAAGGAGAACATTTAAAGTTTTACAAAAGGACATACAGAGAAAAGTAAGACTCTTTCCACCTCCCCTTCTCACTTCCATAGCTCCCTTCAGCATAAGCAACTGCTGATAACAGTATGTCAAGACAGGTTGCACAGACACAAACATCCACATGTACACAGGCAGCCCTTTTTTCCCATAAATGGCAGCACTGTGTGTCCCTCCTTAGATAGCTTGTAAATCTTGGGAATCTTCCATATTGGTAGATATAGATCTGCCTCATTCTACTGTATGAATGTCTGATAACTTATTTAAGTAGTTACCTACTAAATAGAATTTCGTTTACTTCCAGTCTTTTGCTATTATAAACCATGCTGTATAAATATCCTTATACATTCCTCTTTGAATACATATACTAGTATACGTTGTACATACATGGTTAGAAGCAAAATTCCTTGGTCAAAAGTATGCACATTTTAAAATCTTGATAGACGAACTAAACTGCCTCCAGAGAAGTGTGCTTCCATTTACAGTCCTTAAACTATATACTCACACTTTCTTCCCCCATTGTCTCCAGAGCACAGTTCCATTCTGTGTTGAAAAGTACCCTTATGTTCACCTGCTCCTTTAAAAGTCATATACTTCCTTCAGAATGAATAGGGAAAACCTATTTATTCAAGCCTGGGCATTAGACTCCTAGAGTAAAGGAAGATGGTGGAGCTCCATCAGTTGCAGAAGATGCTGACTAAAAGCATCTGGTCCTCAATTAGATGATGTTGGCAAAATAGGAAAATGGAATAAATTCCTGAAAATAAGCAGTTGGCTGTGAGTAATCAGCTCAATCTGCCAGGGCCCTGTCAGAGCCACAGGAAGCACCCATGGGCATCCTGGTAACCCCATCAGCCCACTGCATAACAAGGCCAGGGCAGGCTGTGAGCCAGCATGGGGATGCCCAAGACAAGCAGGAGAATTCAGAATCTGTTTGCCTCTGCTTGTTGGGGGTAAGAAGCATGGTGGAGGGCCAATACATCCACAACATAAGACTGACAGAGACCAAGTATTGAGTAACGTTTCCTAACTGTTCTGAAATGAGGGAAAGTGGATATAGTAAAAAACGCTATACACTATACTCCCATTTTCAAATATAAAACCTTTCTGGAGTGAATAAATCCCTAATGGATTCACTACACTAGTATCTCTATCCAGTGGTGCAGTCCAATCAGAATGGTAGGATCTGGGCAGGAATCTTGGGTTTCAAAGGCTGAGAGAATGTGAACCACACACTTTCTCTTTGTCTTAGCTTTGCTTACTTGAATCTGCTGAAAGTCTGACCACAGACTTTCAGGATGCATTACAAAATGTTCCTCTTCTACTTGGCAGTCACCCTGCTGAGGTGTTGATTGTCCATACATTGAGAAAAGAGCCTGCTGTCACCGTGGCCTAGAGAGGACAGAGAGGAAAGGCAGTGGCTCAGATAGGAACTGACGGTGAACCGACATGAGAAGGACTTTGTCTCTAGAGGAGGTGATGAGGTCCTAGCAGTAGTCATATTAATGATTGTTTCAGCTTGGCTTGATTTTTGAGCTTGTGCAGAGATATGACTAAACAAGCAAGTAAATATGCATTGCTAACATCTGTCAAAGACTTCTAAAACAGGTGATTACCCTTTAGAGCTGAACATTTTAACCATTTAGGGAAGGAGTCCCCCAACAAGCAACAGAATGCCATCTAATTATTACTTGTGCTTTTTTCTAATTAGCAACCAACAGCATGTTGTCATGGAGGCATTGTTGGGAGTTGTCTGCTTCTGTGCAGATGTATTCAGATACTTAAATGTAGGTTCCTAGGCTTGTTACATATCATTATAAAAATTACAGGGCTGAAGAAATGATTTCAGATGGACTTGTTTCAATCCATCAGATCTGAAGCAGCCTCTGGGTCAGATTCACAGGCTCTTGGAGAGAATTGCTGTTGCCCAGCTGGCATCCCATCAGCAATATATTCAAGCTAACTTGATTTGCCATTGTTAGCTCTACTGCTCTGAAATCTCTCCAAATCAGTCACTAATTCACTTTCAGGTACCATCCATCGCCAGTCAGATAAGCTTAGTCCCTTCTCATTGACTGAGTTTGACTGACTGATTGATTCCCTTATTAATCTGTCATCTGAACAGAGAAAGAATAATTTGGAACACTCATCGTCAAATTGTATTCCAGGGCTCATTTAGTTCGATGTGGATTTCTATGACTATCTCTTTACTATGAATACCTTTTCTATTATGTGCTTCTGGTACAGAAAAAGGTTTCATGAGCAAGAGTGAACAATAATCTGCAAAAGAAATATAAAGATGATAATTTAGAATCCTAAAAAAGGAAATAATTAAATTAAAGTTCAAAATTAACCTAAGAAGACTGGTCTTCCAAGGTTTAGGTAGAATATGTAAAAAGTAATAAATGCATGTACACTCTTAGCTTTATTATGCTAAATACCTTGAGATGACTTTGGGAAAATGGAACTGAAACTTACGATGATAAAATAATCTAGTACATAAATTAAATCTATCAAAATGTTATACTTAAAAATATCTCAACAACACTTACGGGATACTATCTGTTACAATTGTTACATAAAAATCTAACCATGTAACAATTAATCAAGGTGTTCTAAGTTTCTACAAATAGGAATCCATAGTTAGCCTAGAATCTGTCTCTGCCCACCCATGGCCTTTAGAAATGCTATTTTGTCTACATGCCTTTTAAATTAAATTTTTTATCAGAGATTTTTAACCAAAACAGATAGTAGGAATATTTACTAAAATGAATAGTGGACCTCAACCAAATACATCTGCACTAATATCTCACCAATTACATGTTTTTGGTTGATTTATTTTAAGTAGCTATAATACTTGAGGTAAATTGATAAGTGACTTGGCCAGATTTCAGAAGGTTAGGGCTATCTCAAGTAGAAATTTCCTCAGAGGTCAATTAATCCATCAAGGTCATCCTTGTATTTTACCTATGCTCACGCTGCTAAGCAGGAGCAGACCCAGGTCCTCTAACTTCTAATTTATCTGTGGCAAACAAATGGGGCCAAAGGAATCATTTTATAGGACTCAGGAAAGTATTCATTAACTTAGATAATTAATGCAATTTTTAAATAGAACTTATTTTTCAGAGCTCATTTATTCATCCATTCATTCATTTCCTCTTTGTTTTCTCACTTAGGTCTAAAAAGTGATCTGAGATAGTGTTTTAGAGATATGTGTCATCCAACAAGGTAAAGCCTGCTTATCAACATCAGAGAAAAAATACTTCCCAACATTTTAGAATATTCATTTGCCACAGGAAAATAGGTTCCCATTATAAGAAATCTTGACAATATTTTTACTAATTGAGAATAACCTGCTACATGGTAAGACTTTATCATCCTGTTTTTTGATGAGATTCTCTTTATCCACAGTAATTTTGAGTTCTTTGTTACTACTATATTCCAGATTCTCATTTTACAGTTTCTAGAACAGACTGAAATTCAGACACATTGCTAACACAAAGGCATACTATAAATGAGTGCTAGCCAAGATATGAATGTTAAATGCCTATGTAGCTCTTGTACTGAAAAGTCAGTAGCTGACCCAAGAACCTTGCCAATCCAGGAAAGGTTTGACCTTCAAGCTGCCCTGCCAATAAGTGACAGCTCCTGAGGGGTTCCAGAAGTCCTGAAGGGACCTGGTGCATATCACATCTAGCTAAGTTCATGAAACTACAGTTACTACGAATGGGACTTTGATTACAAAACTGTTATAATTCAGGAATGCAACAGTTTATTTGTTCCTCAGCTTTTTCACTTTCAAGGTATTATTTAGGAGCCCACTTCTTAGCCTAAGAAGATGAAAGAACAATATTTATGCTGACAATAGATGAAACTGGTGCCACTGACAGAGGTGCAAATAATATCTATAAATTGGGATCACAATTTTGTTTTTATTCTAAATGCATTAATTTAAAATTATAAGTACTTATTCATTTTTGAGACTTAGTTCAAATACCACCTCCACTGGAGGCCCTAGGCAGGTTAAGTTGGGCCTTTTGTTTCTCTGTTACACTGTTCTTCACACTACATTGTAATCATGTAATATATTTGTTTATATGTCTGTCTTGCTTCCCTGGCAATAATTTTCTAAAAGGCAGAAGAAAGGGCTCATTTGTCTTTATTGACAGATACTAGGCACCCAATAAGTACTAATGGAAGAATAACTATCATCATTTTGACAAAAATATGTACAGTGTTTTGAGTTGTTTAAATCAGACTGTGGTAGGATCAAGAGAAAATTCCACCAGAGTATAAGGATTCCTTCTGGTGCAAGTCCAGCTTTGTAGTCTAGTTTCAAGGTCAGAGGAGAAGCCAATTGGCAAAGGGGAGAAAGATTAAAAATCAAAGTTCTCAAGGTCTCCTTAATTACTTGTGTCTTTCATCTTCCTCACAGGATGCCTGATGCATTGTAGAGCAGAGCAACAGGCATTTGTCATTCTTGTCCACTCTTGCTTCCTTTCTTCTTTGTCTGGTAATAGCACCCTGATTTTGCTTTGGAGGAACTCCTCCATCAGATGCAGGCAGGTGTCATGCCAATTTAGATGCCCTGCCTCCTCTAGCCAAGATGTGGGCACCTGACCCAAGTGAGGCTGATTTCCTTCCTCTGTCTGAAATATGAACAAGGGACAAGAGGCTGGTTGACCCTGACCATCCAGCATTCCCTACTACCCAGCTCCTCAGTGTCTTTACTTCTGGTCCTTCTAAGCCTCTTCCCTTGTCTTTCTTCTTAGTTGTTGAGCTTCCCCACTTCCAAAAAATTACTTTGCTGATTCAATTGGCCAGAAGTGGATGTGTTAGCAGCCAAAAATGATGTAAAAGTGAATTGAAGATTAAAATCCTATCCGATTTATCCAAAAGACTAACAAGAGGAAATAACACAGGATATAACCAATCCATTCCAAGACTCAGTTTACCTCTTTCAACAAACTCACTCACTCACAGTCTAGGTAAGTAATCGGAGAAGTCCCAATCTCCTTTCAAATAAATATTCATCACGTTCCTAAAGTAACCCTGTTTTCCCACTCATTCCCCAGACCATCCCCAACATACTTTGCTAGCAGAGGAATCCAGTGGGCTTGAAGACCCCTTCAGTATAGTATTCAGCCCTAACCTGCCTGTTTCTTGCTTAACCACTCAACCACTCTGCCACAAAAACATTGGCAATTTTTCACTACTGTGAGATTTCCCAGTCAGCCAAATGATACTAGCCCACTTTCAGCTAATTGTTTTTAACTCTGACACACCAGCAATGACAAATGGGGATCCTAATTACATTATTGCTTATTTAACACTTTTATGGTTCTTACGCTGCATCAGGCATTTTTCAAAGCACCCTACACATTTTAACTCACTTAATCCTTATTAAGAAAAAAACCAAAAGTGAGATAAGAACAAATGAAGAAAATGAGACACAAAGATCCTCAGTAGCTTGCCCAAAGTCTCAAAGCCCACAAAGAGAGAATCAGGATTCACATGGAAGGAGTCTGTCTCCAAGTCTGTGCTCTGAGCCACCAAGCATGGTTTTGAGAAGATGGTATATTACATAGTCAATTGAAGGAAAGGGCTATCATTTTTTAACTCTCAGTAGCTGACAGGGCACATTGACAAGGAAATAAGATTAGTCCCCAAATGTCAAAAACCTAAAAAACATCAAATCAATTTAGTGTGCTCTCAAGGCCTCCTTCTTTCTTAAACATCATGGCAACACGTCAAAACTATTCTACAATGGTTTCCATTCACATTGAGAAAACTCTAATGCTTTGAGTGGAATGTACCTTTCTTCTTTAATTGGCCTGAAACCAATATGGTAACCTTCTAGGAAGTTTGAAATCTAAGTCTAGTGCTAAACTTTTACTCCTTGTTATGCCCCAGTATTCCACCACCCCTGGGGTGGGAGGGAGGATGTTGCTAGACTTGTTCAATCGCTTTTGTGTGCCATGGCTGACTTACTAACTTGTCTCTCTTAAGTTCCAGGAAACAGATGAAGTGGCAAATCTGCCCATGGGAGTGGATGGTACGCTAAGGTCAGGGCTCAAATCCTTCCTAGGTATGAGGCCTTTCTCTCCCCAGGAAGATTGTTAAACCATCATAGACTATGCTTAAAGGTGATTTTTATTGTCTTCTTTGTATTTCAAACTACAGTTAAAGTTGATTGTAGTCATGATAGCCTTCCTGGTTTATATGTACATTTTTACTTTCTTGAACCTTTTAATGGAAGAGTATCTAAAGCAAGAATTTGCAGACTGAGTGTCTCAATTTACCTATGAAGACCATTGTAACACTAATAAATTCTTCCCCCACTGAGCCCTACAATCTAAATAGATTTGGTTCCATGAACACTAAACACCCGT